GAATTTAAGGGGGAAAAAGGGGAGGGATTTTGAGGAACAAGTATGAAGGACACAGGGATGAGGACTAGGGGGGAAGGAAATGGGAGGGAGGTGGGGAGCATGGGGGGGAGGGGCTGGGATGGGAGAAATAGACAAAAAACTGTACTTGAAAAATAACTAAATAAAATTAAAAAAAATTTTTTTAATGCAGAAAGAAAACCAAATTGACTTCATATTATCTTAGTACCTCTTGCTAAAATTACACTATTCCTTTGACATATGTTTTTTGTCTTTTTTGGCAATATAGGCTTACTCTGGAGAGTTACTTCATTATGATTTATTTCAATGACTCAAATGCCCTCCTTAAATTATGTGTTCTCTGTTATTTCTGGGGTATTCCTTCTTAAGAGCTCTGGGAATTTCGTGATGACACCTGAGGCCTTAATTTTCTACAACATTTTTCTGAGAAATTTCAGAGAGGGGATCTTTTCATTCCTGTAGGTGAGAAATTGGAAAGCTCAAGACATGATAGCCTTAGGTAACTGTTGATCTGTGTATGGGGTGGCACATACAAACCCTTAGCTCTGGTCAAGATGGGGACACTAGGATATGAGGGTAATTGAAACTGAACAACTGGGAGGGTTTCCTACGGGTACTTGAGAAGGTTCTCCGCAGTTTCCTTCCATAGACCTTTAATGAGGTTTTTACCTCCTAGGCATGTTTAAGCACCATTTCCCCACACACTTTAGCCCTCTGTCTTGTCAGGATGGGGGCTTTCCAGGATTTTGCTTTTAAAATTTCAAGATATTCTAGTCCTAAAATCCATTAAAGAAAAACATCTCTGTGTGGTCCACTTCTTGTCTCTCGGGTCCAAGCTCCACATTCTAAATTCTGTGATATAAAAAACACTTCCCCAGACTGCTTTGTCAGCAAGTTTCCCATTATGTTTTATTAGTAAGAGGCATTAGGGGGAAGGAAGGGACAGGTTGCTTCTTTGCTGTTCCTGTCAGCGTTGCCCTAGGAGTGGCAGTTGACTACAGCTTCCAAATTCCTTCAATCTTCTAGAACTGGACTCACTAGGCCATTTGAGAGTACCAGCGTCTGGGAGGTGCTTCCTTCTCAAAGGTCTGAACACTAGGTCTGCAGGGTCCACCCTCCCCCATCTCCTGACCTCTTTATTCTAGTAACCCAAACCTTCCCATCTGCTTCCCAGCCCGGGGTGGTAGCCATTTCTGGCAGCTGTCACTTGTGGGTTTGGTGTTTCCTCTTGATCCAACACCTGTCTAACCAATTCCTTGCAGTACTGCACACCCTCTGATGAAAGACCTGCTGGGATTTTTGTTTTCTTAACTGCACTCCAACCAATACACCCAATATAATCTACATTTGTCTAGTAGAAACTGAGCAGGGAGTAGGGTTCTCATCCTGACCCTGGGACGTAGGGTCAAGCTGTGGGCACATCTGGCAGGGGAGACATGAGTGGAGTCTTCATCAGTAGAAAAATGAGAATTGCCAATTTATTTATGCCGCACCTGGGAATTTATGGGAGCATGAAGCACTGGGTGGAAGTGGACTGGTGGATGGGGTGAATAGTCAGGGGGAAGAACTACCACCTTATTTTCTTGAGGCAGGGCTTGTACCAGCTGCTTTATGTATAGAGCAGTAAGAATAGACAGTCCAAACTTTTTGTGGATGATCACCAGTTGAAAGTCTTGTGAATTGAACTAGCTTCAGAGAGAGCCTAATTGTGGCAGCTTGGGAGTACAAAAGCCAAGTTGAAGAGAAATGTAAAGTAAGTAAAAATACAAAGAGAACGGTCCCCTCAGTTGAACTCAGGTTCTGTGTTATTCCAAGTCCTGCCAAGACAAAGCAAAATATTCTGGGGGGAAAAATCAGACTCAAACTTTAAAGTCATCCTTGTTTAAGATCTTTATACAGAAGTAATGGGTAAGCCTGGAGTAGTGGTTCAACTCCCTGGTTTAAGAGTTTTAGTGTTTTACACACACCTTTATGCATACCAAATGTGTGGAACTAGTATAGGAACTTGAAGAATCCGTGAGGTATTTCTGAGAATTGGTTTCCTCTGGGACCAAGGTCTCTTGTGACATATGAAGCTGTGGACACATCTGGCAGGGGAGACATGAGTGGAGTCTTCATCAGTAGAAAGATGGTAATTGCCAATTTATTTATGCCACACCTGGGAATTTATGGGAGCATGAAGCACTGGGTGGAAGTGGACTGGTGGACTAGTGGGTGAATAGTCAGGGGGAAGAACAACCACCTTATTTTCTTGAGGCAGGGCCTGTACCAGCTGCTTTATGTATACTACTAAACTGTTGATAGCAACTGTTGGTTACATTATTTCTATTTACAAATTAAGAAAGTAAGGTAATGAAAATAGCTCACCTAAGATCACATAGGTAGAGACCAAGAAGGGAATTCTCCTCTTTCTTCCTGCACCTATCTGCCCTCATTTAGATGGTCCAAAGCTCACACACATATTACTGGTCCAACAGTTCAATTCCCTATGGATTAATACTCTTGAGAACTAAGAAATCGAAAGGCATTTAAAGCCATTCTTGGCTCACAGGCCCCACAAAAAAAGGTGGCATACAGATCTGGCCCCTGGAATGTAGTTTATAGACCTGTTCTAGGTCTTTCATTTGAGACCCTGGTGTATTAACAGGCTTCCTTCCCTTGGTAGATACTGAACTTTACTTTCCTCCTCAGCATTGTAAACCTGATGACAACTCTGCTTTTCACAGGTTTCCAGCCTTTTATCCTCTGCACTGAGAAGTTTCAAAATACCACAATCACCTATGACCCTCAAGTCTCCGGAACTGCAACTGTAGCTTCATGAAATGGCCAAGAGGCCTGCCAGTTTCTTTGATCACCAGCAGCAGCCCCAATTCTCCTTCTGCATTCATAACAGGCACCTGCTATCAGTAAAGAAGTGGCTGTGAACATCAGTTCTCCACTCTCCAGAATCTTAACCCCTGTATTAGTCATTGTTTCGGTAGCTCTGACACTTTAAGCAGACAATTGTACATTGTTATGTGGCTCATCTCATTGTTCTCAGCCATGCTACATGAAAACGTTTTGTTTTTTTTTTAAAAGATTTTATTTATTTTTGGAGATACGGGAAGGGAGGGAAAAACACTGTGTGATAGAAAAATCGATCGGTTGCCTCTCACATGCCCTCAACTGGTGACCTGGACCACAACCCGGGCAGGTGCCCTAACTGGGAGTTGAACCAGTGACCTTTAGCTTTGGGGGATGATGCCCAACCCGTTGTGCCACACGAGTCAGGGCAGTTTTGCTTTTCAAAAGAGTATGTTAAAGCTAAACAATTTCAAATTCATTCACTGCTAGTTCTAAAAATTCAAAACGCTATTTTTTTTCATGCTGAAAACAACTTAAAAGCAAAAAAGACCCTCTAGAGTGGTGCAGGCTAAGATGTATAAGCTTCTTTTACATTAAAATTGTTGGGTAGGTGATATATTCAGTATGATAGAAAATTCAATCACAGTACAAAAGAACGTATCCTGGTATTCTATACTAGGATCTAGTGAGAAGGCATTCTTCCACAGTCTCATGGCCACCCAGTCGCCCTTCCTGCTGGCAGAACTGTTTCTCCTTCCAGGCATATTTTATACAAATACATATACATGGTTCTGTTTTTTTTGGACAACAGTTTCACACTATATATACTATTTAACTCTGTATCCTACAGTTACTTTCATATCTGTAAAATGGTGGGGTGTTTTGGTTGGTTTGTTTAACCGCTGTATAGTTTTCCATTGCACCATCATTTTCTTCGTGTTCACTGATACATTATAGTTGCTTCTAAGTCTGAGATTACAAACAATGTCATGCAAAATTGTTTCATACATGTCACTCTACACATATGTGAAGACAGCTTTCAGAAATTCCTAGAGGCAGAATTGTCAAGTTTACCTCCAAAGGGATTTAAACTTTTCCATTCATACCAAGCAACATACAAGTACATATTTCCCTACACTCTTGCCAAGATTTTAAAAAAATCACACACACATACACAAAAACAAAACCAATCTACTAATCTGAAGAATGGAAAAATGTATGAACATGAGTGTAAGTGATATCATGCATTTTTTCACATATTCAAGAGACATTTATATTTCCTTTCCTTGGAACTATTCTCCTTGGTATCAAACAAACTTTTCTAATTTTCCTTTTCAGTTATTAGTCTTTTTCTTAATGGATTAGGAGACATTTTTTTTTTAAATTTTATTTAGTTGCTTTTCAAGTACATTTTTTTTTCTTTTTTTCCCTTCCCCCCCCGGTTTTCCCCCCACCGTGTTTAGGAGACATTTTATATAAAGGAGATTCTCTTTGTAATTAAGTACATTTGTTTCTCCCTCAGTTTGCCGCATCTTCCAATTTTCTTTTATAGTAGTTTTGGTAAAACATATAATAGTCCATTCTTACGTTTAGTATTTTCTGATTCTCAACCTCTGCAGTTTTAGTACTCTGAGAAATTAAAGGCTCTCATATCTTTTCCATAAAAAAGGAAAAAGTAGCAGTACATTCTGATGAATAATAAAGTATTTACTAGTTTCTAACAAAAAGGCATACATAGTAGGACCATTAGAAAGACAAATTAGAGCCCTGGCTGGTGTGGCTCAGTGGGTGGAGTGCCGGCCTTTGATCCCAGTCGGGGTACATGCCTGGGTTGCAGGCCGGGTCCCCATTTGGGGGCGTGGGAGAGGCAATAGATTGATGTATCTCTCACACATTGATGTTTCTCTGCTTCTTTCTCCCTCCCTCCCCCCTCTCTAAAAGTAAGTAAATAAAAATGTTTTTAAAAGATTTTTTAAAAAGGAAAGACTAATGAAATTTAAATTTATATTCAAACCAACATTATTCAGGAGGACTTCGCAGATAATTAAGTAATTAAATATATAAATCCTAGGTACATCACACTATCCCCGTCCCCCCCTTTGGTCATGGACTATTTCAGGAAAATTTAATTATATAACTTGTATTTCTTTACTTTTTATTTATTTTTAGAGAGAGGCAAAAAAGGGAGAGAGAGAAGGAGAGAAACATTGATGTGCAAGAAAACATAGATTGGTTGCCTCTCACACACTGCCAACTGGAGACCTGGTCGACAACCCAGGCATGTGCCCTGACTGCACACTGAACCGGTAACTGCACACTGAGCCAGTGACCCTTCAGTTCGCAGGCTGGCACTCAATCCACTGAGCCACACCAGGAAGGGCTCAGATCCATCAGTGTCTTCCCTGAAATGCAGAGTGAAATCGCTCCTTGAAAAAAATCAATCTGATGAGAAATAAAAATAAATTTTAAATTAGCATCAGGGGTAATTCTACCCCTAAATCACCTATCCAATCAATATTGAAGTACATGCCATCAAATCTGCAAACATTAACAGAATTTCAGTTACAAAATCTGGAGGGGAAAAAATCTCAAAAGTGTGTAAAAATACCGACAAAGTTAAGGAAGACTAAAGCTCTTAGGACATTTTATTGTATTTTTACCTTAAAAGGATGAATTACTAGACATCAGCAGACATGAGGTGAAAACTGTTGTTTGTTTGCTGAAAGTTATTCACAATGAAAACAAAGATTAAAGAGTTTCTAAGTGTCACAAAATGAAAGCACTGCCTCAGATTTAACTTTGGTGGGTAATATAAGGTAAAATCCAAGTATCATACTATTTCTGTCCATAAATACAAATAAAAGTCACTCTCGATACAAGTGATAATGTAAGTAAATAAACACATGGTTATTTATGTTTCAGGTTCCACAACACAGTATATCATGATTTAACTCTCCTACAGTAAATTCCCATGTTTTCCCCTGGAATAGAAGATTAAAAGAAATGTTAATTTCCAAAAGTACAAGTAATTTAATGACTAATTTTGATTTTGACACCAGTCTCTGTGGTGTGACAAGCTATAAAACCCCAATGTTTTCTGTCATTTGGCAAAGAATTAGGGAGAATGCTCTAACAAGTGTACCTGCTGCTCTGTCTTGGACCCAGTTTCTGATCACCCACTGAGTTCCAATGCTTCCAAAGTGTCGGTTTGCTCTACTCAGCCAGACCTCTACACTCTTAACTCCTTTGCATCAAAAGTCTAGTTTCCTTTCTGTCAATCCCAATTTTCCAGAAAACTCTGATTTGATGGGATTCTAACCTATTTTAAATAAAATGCTATAATGCTTAAAATAATTAAAAAGATAAAAATCAGACTAGTGTTATAGAATACATCTCACGTGATCTACAAAAACATGGCAAAGTAGCAAAAAAAAAAAACCCCTTATTTTTAAACCTGATTCCTTAAGTCACATCGAAAAGGTGAGCAAAGGGCATAAAACATGCATTTTTGGGGGTAGGAGAATGGCACTTGAAGATTTCTTGGGAGTTGGCCCAGGCATTCCTGTATTTATTATCTATAAGGATTGTCCAACTTAGCACATCACAGTTGTTAATAAAGGATCGGGACTCTTGTTTATCACTGACTTTGGCAGAAGTACATTTCTACATTCCTCCCTCATAATTGCATAGTCCTTCAATTACAGACAATGAGTGTGCCCACAGAGCAGAATAAAAAAGTATACACCTTCTATAATTAAAAAAAAGAGCATCACGATCCAGCTTTACTAGATTTTAAAACATTCCCTCCACTCATGCATTACTCTGTGTATCTCTGAAACATCTGAAAAATACTCTTCTGTGACTTACGAGACTGTAGGGAATGAGCACTTTTAGATACATTACAACGATCTTTAGCAGAATTTGGCATCCTTCTTTCATTAACATTAACTGAATGTTTCAACTGGATCTTAAAAGAAGGTTGCCAATGTTCATTTTGGGGGACTCTCCGAGGTTTTGAATGCTCTACACCAGTTTGTCCTTTTATGTTCCTATCTTTGGAATTATTCCTCTGCCCATTTAGCGATTTATCTGGAGGTGAGGGCGTGGCTCGTAACTGATACTCATCTGGGGATCCTTTTTGCCGGTTTGGCTTCATTTGTTCTTTATCCACTTCTTTTTGAATTTGTAATGCTAATAACCTATCCTGTTCTTCTTGTTTATGTCTCTCAAAAAGTAGATGTTCCAAATCTAAGAGTTTTTGGGTAAAGCTGATTTCTGTTTCTTCTTGCTCTGAGGAAGATGCAGGGAACATTTTTCTTCTTTTTGCAGAAAAGCATGGATCCCTGACTGCTTCAAACAAAGGCTCTTGGTTTTTTCTTTTGGATACATCTTCCTTACTGATCAGGAGGCAAGACTCTTCATTTTCTGTCTCAGTTGTGTTATTTTCAATTACCTGTGTCAGATCTACTACAGCGCACCCGCTCTCTAGTTTGCCACAGGGCTTCACTGCAGCTTCTCTAGAGCAGGGAACTCTGGCTTCGGGTCCCTCACAATTTGTGACACATAATTCTTTATCATGATTGCTTGGTCTCATCTTGACTTCTTCAAGGCACCATTCTGTACCACTGGCACATAACTGAGGCATAGGTGATTCTATTAAAGACTTTGCGTCTTGTTCTTGAATTTCAAGGCATAATTGTGGAGAAAGCGTTGGCATATCTTCCTCAATTTCTTGCCACATAGGGCTCTTCATATCACTACCATCAGTTTCCTGTGGAAAACAGAAAAAGACTGAGTGAACCAGTGATACGCATCAAGTCATAACACACATATCTTACACTGATAGCATAGTTAAGTTGTCATTATTAGGTAGTTATTACTATCACTACTGCTATGGAATATTGATTTTTTCCTATGTTAATACTTTTATTTATTCATTTTTATTGTTCAATTACAGTTGTCCCAATTTCCCCCCAATATACTGATTTCTAATTATATTTTTATTCTGTGTGCCAATTTAGGTTAAATTATTCCCTCATTTTTTTTTTTTTTTAGAGTATAAATAGGTTTATTTTAAGTAGAATTAACAAGAATCAAAATGGGAATATGATATGAGATTTTGTTACCGAACAAGAGGTCCGAGGGAGGGTCAATACAATATTTGGCCCACCTAGGGATGTCTAAAACTGCTATACAACAGGGGCCCCTCCCAAAAACAAGATACTAATATCTACTGGGCTCTTCTGTCCGCTGCCAATTGGAAAGACATCTCTCAATGCCAGAGATTTGTGAAAAGGAAACAAAATGTTTATTTAATGCTATTCAGGCCTAATACCTCCACTAAAATATCAAAGTCCTTTAGGTTGTACACCTACACCCACACAGCGCTGCCTTCTCCCACTGTCCCAACTCCGGGTACCGTAAATCAGGAAAAGAGCACACGTCTGTGTTGCAGGCCGCTGGCACCATCAGCTGTGTCACTGTGCAGGATCTCGAGTTAATCCAAAGTACTGTGGTACCCTCTCATGGTCCACTGGCAAGAGTCCTTTGTACCCAGTTCCAGTCAAAGTCTCTCTTGCTTTTCAGGCCCTGCAGCCAAAGGGGGCACCCCAAAGCCGCGTGGGCCTCTTCTCCCAAAGCTGCAGGAGTCTGCACTCCACCAAAAGCATGTGGCTGTCTTCTTCACCTGGCTGCAGGGATCTCCATTCTGGCAAAGCTGCGTGGTTTTTCCCTTTCACCTGGGAAAGGGGGTCCGCACCCTGCCAAAACCACGTGGCTCCCTCTTTCACCTCACCAACAGGGGGTCCTCACTCTGCTGAAACCGCGTGGCTCTCTCTTCATCTGGCCAAGCGGGGACCCTTCATGTCTCGGAGCCAGTCTTTTCCAAGCTCTCACACAGGCCTTCTCACTCAGGAGTGCAGACCCTAGTTACATCCTGAGTCCCAGCCACTACCTTCTCCTATTCCCTCATTTTTACTCCCATGAAAATCTACAGAATAAAACCCACAAACTAGATTCACTATATAGCAATAACTGGCACCATCACTTTATCTCTTTTACCTTATAAACTTCTAGTATCCCAGGGATAGAAAACCTTTTTTGTACCATGAACTCTCCTCCTTTTAGCATTTTGGTGAAGCTTAAAGACCTCTTCTAAGAATAACATTGTTAAATATAAATACATAGGGTCACAAAGAAAATTTATACTGCTACACAATTATTAAAATGTTAAGAATTATGATGCAATATGTATCTACAAATAAGATCCATCAGCAAGCCTAGCAACTTGTGATACTGAAGTAGGGATCACTATAAACATTTCAAGAGATCTATAACAAATGATAAAAACCCATACTTTTTATCGATGACAAAGTCACAGGTACTGTCAAGAGTATTATAGTTTCTTGCTGTTTATATTCATAATTAAAACTAAAATGAGAAGTCAGAATAAAGTAAACTATTCTTTTCTTCTAAGTTCGTATGTACTCTCTGGATTCTAACCATGGACCTTAGGCCACGAATCCTTGCTTTAGTAAGTATAATTCTTTTCACTTATGGGTCTTAGGTTAAGTAAAGGCCTGAAATTAGTTCTGACTATGGGAAAGCCTTAAGAAAGTCTTCAGTAAGAATTGCCCCAGAACAAAAATTACTCCTTGTTAGAGACATTCTGTTTTTCTGCCTTCTTAGCTATACATTTATCATTCCCGATAGCATTTCTTATAAACCAATATGGGTTGGATGGAACAAATTCTAGGTTGCTTACCTAGTTTTGCTGTGAATATGAACAGGGTAGAAAAAATATCCCAGGCCGTATAATGCCTCTTCCTCCCTTTACTACCTCTACTTAAGAGATTTTGGGCAGGTCTCTTATCTCTGTGTGTCTCAGTTTTCTCAACTGTAAAATGGGCATGAGAAGGATTTCTACATTATAGAGGTGAGGTTGTAATGAAGATTTAAAGAAAACACATTATCTGGCACACAATAAATGTTGCTAAAAACCATCTACCTGAATTGAAAAAAAGAAGAAGCCTGAAAAAGGTTAACAAACCTTTTATGTAGGAAACAGACCTTGGTGACAGCTCACCCTTCCTAGTTCTATTGATCTGAAAACCTGATAAAGGTGGAACGTCACCTGTGTCACTAGGCTGCATAGTTTACAGCAGAAATGACCATTACTGGGGAACTGCATTTGTACTGGAACTCTGAGTGATCCATAAACACCAAACAGGGAGTCAAAGCTTGGAGCTTCTATAAGTGACTCTTAACTTTTTAAAATGGGTGTATTTCTTATGAGGACCCCTGGAAGTTATACTCTTGGGTTGTTACAATAAATGACTCTCATGGGGCATGAGTCCTCTAAGGCAAGGTGGTTACCACAGTCATCTGCAAGGAGAACTCTTAACGCCTGCTGTTGCCCTACCACCGTGCTTTGTTTCCCATCCTGAAATATTTTAAAGTGAAGGTGGTACTGGGGATGGGTATTCAGTTGAGACCATATGGGCCACAAAGCCTAAAATATTTACTATCTGGCCCTTTAGAGAAAAAGTTTACTTGCTGACTCCTAGTCTAGGTAATCCTAAGATGACTAAGAAATGGTGTCCCATTTACTATGGTGACTTAAGAAAAAAAGTTAGGAACCTACAAATATTAGTAATATACAGCATTCATAAATATGCCAAACTAAAAACATCTTTAGCACCCACATACCTTAGACATGGAGTTCTTCTTGCCTTCTTGTACAACTTCAGACTGTGATGCTGACCCAAATGGAGATTTAGGTGACAAATACCTTTAAAAAAAAGTTTACCAAAGTATGAATTCATTGCAAGGCAAATGGTATGTACCCAGTACGATAAAGCCACTATTTACACTGAAGGCTGTCTGACTGCATGGCTGATTTGTTGAAAACGGTATAGTGTATCTCCTTCTCTCAGGTATTTTGGTCTAACTCCAGAGCAAAACTGAAAAGACTGAGTATTGACATTTTAGAGAAAAATAGCAAAAATGGAGGTAAAAGTCAAATCTAAACATTTCTTTATTCTCAAAAAAAGTGTAAAAGGTAGACAGCAACAAATATGGAGAAAGAATATGTGGAGTTTTTAAAAAACAGCCAATTATTTTTAAGAAATTTTATTGATTTTCAGAGAGAAGGACAGAGAGAAAGAAACACCGATTTGTTGTTCCACTTATTCATGGATTCACTGGCTGACTCCTGTGTGTGCCCTGACCAGGGATCAGACCGCACCCTTGGCACGACCTCAACGCTTTAGCCAACTGAGCTAGAATGGTTTTTGTGGGTTTTCTGTGTTTGTTTTTAAATGCCAGAAATTAGACATGTTTTATCATGGAAAAGTCCATTAGATTCTCTCTACAATTTTGGCATAGAGATTTTGGTTACGTACACATTTTATATCAACTACCTGCTTAGAGACAAACATGTATCATCATAGCATAAGATCATATCTCTAAATTTCTAAACATCTGTAATAGGCTGTTTAATGCTGAAAAACATAAAGTCTGTAATATAATGGATAATGCTGTAAAAGAAATGGGAGTAAAAGGACAGGTTACAATATGGTAGGTATATTTTAAAAACTGTAAAAAATCCAAACACATACACAACTGTGCTTAAAAATGGCAGAAATCTCCCAAAATGTTGAATGTCTTTAACACATGGTAACTTTGGGTGATTTTCAAAGAGGAGCTAGGTTTCATTTTTATAAGTAGAGAAAATGAAAAGAGAAATGTCTGACTGCAGATAATATATACAACCATAAGCTGCACTGTGTTCTAAGCACCAATGAATAGTATATAGAGCAAAATAAAATCTAGACAAAAAAATTTTTTAATATATTTTATTTATTTATCCTTAGAGGGGAAGGGAAGGAGAGGGGGAGAGAAACATCAATGTATGGTTGCCTTTTGTGCGTCCCCTGCTGGGAACTGGCCTGCAGGGAACCGGCCTGCAACCCTAGCATGTGCCCTGACTGGGAATCGAACCGCGATTGTCTGGTTCGCAGGGCCGTGCTCAATCCACTGAGCTACACCAGCCAGGGCCCTAGACAAAATTTTATATAAATAAATGAATATCCCTTACAGATAAACTAGAGTGTCTGACCCACATATGTACTTACATCAATCTAAATACTCCACAAACTTATGAGAAGAACCACCATTTCACTTGATAAGAGAAAAACAGGAGTCCTGGTGCAGTTGCATTTTAATCTTGTTTCCCAAGACTATACTTTCAGGCATCCTTTCCATAGTTTGTTAATCCTGTTTCACAAAACTGAAGAATCCCTTTTGCCAAAGTTGGAAGTTCGTCACCAAGTATGTTAGTACCAAGAATTATTACAGCATAATAGTTGCTTTGAAATCCATAAGAAACAAAACATGATCAGATACTTTACTAACTTAATCAGAGATTTATGAACTTAGCTAGATATTCTTTACTTATAGTAACAAAGTAATGTGTGAATGCATGATCATTCTAAAAAACAGAAATTTGGAAATTTGTCATCATCTCTTTTATGTGACCGTTTTTATTTTTTCTTATTTTTAATTTTATTGTTGTTCAAGTAGTTTTCTGCCTTTCCCCCCACCCCTCCCAACCACCCTGGCCTTCCCCGCCTCCTTCCCGTCTCCACCCCCCCTTTTTATTGTCCACATGTCATTTATAATTGTTCCTATAAACCCTTTACCCTTTTCCGCCATTATCCCCAATCTCCCCTCTGGTCACTGTCAGCCTGTTCTAAATTTCAACGTCTTTGGCTATGTTTGCTTGCTTTTTCATTTTGTTGATTAGGTCCTCTCAATGGTGCGATCATATAGTATTTGTCTTTCACTGCCTGGCTTATTTCACTCAGCATAATGCTCTCCAGTTCCATCCATGCTGTTCCAAAGGGCTGGAGATCCTTCTTTCTTTCTGCTGCATAGAATTCCATTGTGTAAATGTACCATTGTTTTTTTGATCTATTCATTTACTGATGGGTACTTAGGTTGCTTGTAACATTGAACTATTGTAAATTGTGCTGCTATGAACATGGGGGTAAATAGGTTCTTTTGAATTGGTGCTTCAGAGTTCTTAGGATATAATCCTAGCAGTGGAATTGCTGGGTCAAAAGGCAGTTCCATTTTTAATTTTCTGAGGAAATTCCACAGTTTCTACAGTGGCTATACCAGTCTGCTTTCCCACGAACAGTGAACTAGAGTTCCCTTTTCTCCACAACCTCTCCAACCCTTTTTGTTTGTTGATTTGTTTATGATGGCCATTCTGACCAGTGTGAAGTGGAATCTCATTGTGGTTTTAATTTGCATCTCTCTGATGGCTAGTGATGCTGAGCACCTTTTCATGTGTCTCTGGGCCCTCTATGTCCTCCACAGAGATGTGTCTCTTCAAGTCATTTGCCCATTTTTTAATTGGGGTGCTTGTCTTCTTAGAGTGGATTTGTACGAGTTCTTTACAGATTTTGGAGACCAAACCTTTGTTTGAGGTATCATTGGCAAATATGTTTTCCCATACGGTTGGTTCTTTTTTCATTTTAATACCATTTTCTTTAGCCATGCAGAAGCTTTTTATTTTGATGAGATCCCATTTGTTTATTCTTTCCTTTATGTCCCTTGCTCTAAGGAACATATCAGTGAAAATATTGCTGCGTAGAATATCTGAGATTTTCCGGCCTATGTTCTTCTGTAGGACTTTAATGGTGTCACAACTTATATTTAAATCTTTCAACCACCTTGAATTTATTTTTGTGTATGATGTACATTGGTGATTGAGTTTCATTTTTTTGCATGTAGCTGTCCAGTTCTTCCAACACAATTTGTTGAACAGGCTATTTTTATTCCATTTTATGCTGCCACCCCCTTTGTCCAATATTAATTGACCATAGAGACCTGGGTTTATTTCTGGGCTCTCTGTTCTGTTCCATAGGTCTATGTGCCTGTTCCTTTGCCAGTACCAGGCTGTTTTGATTACAGTGGCCTTGTAATACATTTTGATATCAGATATTGTGATCCCTCCTACTTTGCTCTTCTTTCTCAAAATTGCTGTAGGTATTCTGGTTCATAAAAATTTTTGAAGTGTTTGTTCTACATCTGTGAAATGTACCATTGGTAATTTAATAGGGATTGCGCTGAATGTATAAATTGCTTTGGGCAGTATGGACATTTTGATGATGTTAATTCTTCTGATCCACGAACACGGTATATTTCCATTTGCTTGTGTTTTCTTTAATTGCTTTCTTCACTGTTGTGGGGCTTTCTGAGTACAGGTCTTTTACTTCTTTAGTTAAGTTTATTCCTGGGCTTATTTTTCTTGTAGCTATATCAAGTGGGATTTTTTCCCCTGATTTCTGAATACTAACTTTGTATACCTGTTTTTGCCAAATTCATTTATTAGGTCGAGCAGATTTGGGGTGGAGTCAATAGGATTTTCTACGTACACTATCATGTTATCTGCAAACAATGACAGTTTTGTTTCCTCTTTCCCAATTTGGATGCCATTTATTTCTTTTTCTTGCCTGATTTGTTGTGGCTAGGACTTCCAATACTATGTTGAATAGAAGTTGTGAAGGTAGACATCCTAGTCTTGCTCCTGATCTTAGTGGGAAAGTTTTTAGTTTTTGCCCATTGAGTATGATATTGGCTGTAGGTCTCTCATATATGCCCTTTATTATATTGAGGAATGCTCCCTCTATTCCCACTTTGTTGAGTGTTTTTATCATAAATGGGTATTGTACCTTATCAAATGCTTTTTCCGCATCTATTGATACAATCATGTGATTTTTGTCTTTGCTTTTGTTTCTGTGATGTATTATTTTTATTGATTTGCCAATATTGTACCATCCTTGCGTCCCTGGGATGAATCCCACTTGGTCATGGTGTATGATCTTTTTAATGTATAGCTGGATGAAATTTCCCACTATTTTGTCAAGGATTTTTGTGTCTATGTTCATCAGTGATACTGGTTTTCTTTCTTTGTTGTGTCGTTATCTAGTTTTCAGATTAGGATGATGCTGGCTTTATAAAAAGTTTAGGAGTCTTCTGTCTTCTTGGAATTTTTAGAATAGTCTGTGAAGGATATGAGTTAGCTCTTCCTTAAAAGTTTTGTAAAATTCTCTTATGAAACCATCTGGTCCTGGACTTTTGTGTACCAGGAGTTTTTTGTTTACCGCTTCAATTTCATCAGCTGTTATTGGTCTATTCAGGCTTGGTGCTTCTTCTTCGTTCAGTTTTGGAAGATTATGTTTTTCTAGACATTTGTCTGTTTCACCTAGGTTTTCAAATTTTTTGGTGTATAGTTCTTCATAGTAATTTCTTACAATCCTTTGTATTTCTGTAGTATCATTTGTAATCTCACCTCTTTTATTTCTGATTTTGTCTATTTGGGTCCTATCTCTTTTTTTCTTGATGAATCTGCTTAAAGGCTTGTCGATTTTGTTTATCTTTTCAAGGAACCACCTCCTGGATTGATTGATCCTTAGATTTGTTCTTTTATTCTCTATGTTGTTTAACTCTTCTCTGGTCTTATTTTCTTCCTTCTGCTTGCTCTGGGCTGTCTTTGCTGTTGTTGTTCGAGTTCTTGTAGGTGTAGGGTTAGGTTGTATTTGAAATGTTCCTTCCTTACTTTCTTTTCTTCTTTTTTGATAGGCCTGTATCACTGTGACCTTTCCTTTCAAGACTGTCTTCACAGTGTCCCATAAGTTTTTGGTTGCTGTGAGTTTTCATTTGTTTCCAGAAACTTTTTGATTTCCTCCTTGATCTCCTTCTTGACCCATTCATTGTTTA